AAAAAAAAAAAAAAAAAAAAAAAAAAAAAAAAAAAAAAAAAAAAATTGAAAACTCGTCGAGAAACACGTGAAATTTAACAAAACGAACGGTTCCTTCCTTCGCTCAATCGATCATTGTTTCTCAACGACAGATCTCGAGCCCCGCTTGCACCGAGCTGGAGGTGATCATGCTCGACTGGCTAGGAAAGATGTTAGACCTGCCCAAGGAATTTCTAGCAAGCAGCGGTGGAAAAGGTGGTGGTGTGATTCAGGTAAACCAAGTTCGATGTTAACTGTTGATTCACCTGTTGCTCGTCCTTGTCAAGAGTCTTATGTCGCGAAAGTTGATCGACGTTCAAAGACAGGCTGACAGAGTTCGTAAATAGCATGCAATTAATGATTAATTTCACGTTGCAGGGGACTGCGAGCGAAGCCACTTTGGTGGCGCTGCTCGGCGCCAAGGCTAGGAAAATAAGGCAGGTCAAGGAGCAGCATCCTGACTGGACGGACAACGAAATTGTGGGGAAACTAGTCGCTTATAGCTCTTGTAAGTAGGTTTCCAACACAATCTCGTGCTTACGAAAGTATCAAAGTACATTGTACATCATTTATCTACCGTCTTAAATACCTAAATTAATTATTAATTATTAATTGAAATACCTAATCCATATCCTTATGACGCACGAAGAGCCTTAAATCGGTGAAAATTACAGCTCAAAATTATTATCGACTTTTAATTAATCGTTAAATAAGTAAATTTTTCACTTTCCTCGGAAAAAAAAAAGGGGAAGAAAGAGAGAAGAATGATTTTTCCACGTTCCGAAAATAATCCGCGCGAAAGAGATTGTCGATTAGCTGGGTAAAAATTTCCCCGCACAGCGGGCCGATTTCCCTGTAAACAAGATTAACGATGACGCTGGCCGGTGCTCTTTAACATTTGACAGAGGCACGCGGAGCCGAGGGGATGGGATGACAAGCCCCGAGTACGGGGTTGCGGCACTTCATCAGCCAGCACTTTGTCACCATGGCAACGCGTAATAACCACTCGAGTTATTTCAACCCTGTGCCACCACCACCCTCTCCCAAACCCCTCACTGCTCTGCAAACCCTGTTCGCCATTCTGCGCTCCTGTTACCACTTCTCTTCGCCGACACGTCGAATCGTTGAAAGATT